AACTGGCGCCATGCTGCAATTCGGGTGCCACTTTCAAATACTGTATTTTTCAGTTCTGCCCTCGGGGCCTTTGCAGAAATGCCCCTGGTACCGTACGTGTCACCGGTACTTATACCGGCTCCCCATACGGTACGGGGACCAGTCTCGTACCAGTTTTCTGCTGCTGTACTCGTACTCAGTGTGACTTGCTGTTTCGGCATTCGGAATCCAAGACTTCGACTTTGTGCCTTGCCACTGTGTCTGTGTCCGACCCTCAGTCCGAGTCCGCGGTGTCCAGTGAGTGAGTGTGTGTGTGTGTGCTCTCACTCTCTCCCTCTCTCTCTCCTCTCCCTCGGCTCACCCTCAGCCTCACGCCCGTCACACTGGTATCCGAGCGGTTCGAACCCGCCCGACCCACCCTGCTTCGACGTCGTCACCTGGCCATCATCAACATCATCGTCGAGATCGTCGTTGCCGTGCCACGTCATCATCGTCATCATCGCAATCCTCGTCATTGTGCCCCATCATCATAATCATCGTCGGGATCGCCGCCGTCGTGCCACGTCATCATCACCGTGCCCGTCGCCCTCGTCGCTGCGCCGCGCCATCCTTGTCATCGCCGTCGTTCCCTTCGCGCAGCGTTTATTTTTTGGGGAAAAAAAAAAAAACTTGGTGATTATCTTTATTTTTGAATTTATTGATAAATAAATAAGCGATTGCCCCCCCCCACCCTCCACATGCCACCACGCCAAACCAAGAACTCCCAACGTGCCGCCGCCGACGCCGCCGCTGCTGCCGCCGCCACCGCTGCTGCTGCATCCTCCACACCCGTTCAGGCCACGTCCTGCAGCCCCTCTTTCCCCGACATGGCCGCATCCTCCATCAACATGTCTGACATCCGCACCAACTCAGTCGATAGCATCGCCCGCAACCTCGCAGGAGAACCACCACCAGCAAACACCGCCACCTCCGACCTCTCCGCCATCGTCCACGCACTCAACACCCTCCGAACCTCCGTCACCACCTCTCTCGACGACATAAAGGCCAACATGTCGTCCATATGCGACCGCATCACCACGATCGAAGGGACCATCCCCTCTATCACGGTCGTCACCACCGCGCAAACCACTCCCTCCTCCACAACGCAAACCACTCCCTCCTCCACAGCGCAAACCACTCCATCCTCCACAACGCAAACCACTCCCTCCTCCACAGCCACCTCCAGCAACACCCCCCCGCCGACCTCCTCCACTCCTACCACCTCTACCACCACATCCACCAACCCTTCAACCTCCACCATCGTTCCATTCCCTCCACCTCCTCCCTCATCCGGCGCATCCAGCACACTGCCTCATTCCTCGCCCATCCACGTCACCCCTCTTCCCCCCCCGCACTCCCAAACCCTCTCCCAACCCATCATGACCACCTCCACCATCCCCACCATCCGTCCCACCTATTCCCAAGTCACCTCCGGGGTTTACCCCGCAATGCCACAACCCCCCCCCAACTACCTCCTTGAGGACAACAACCAAATCGACCACACCTGCTACGACACCACCCCTGATAACCTCAGCTTCAACACCCTCGCGCAGATCGTTCACCGCAACGGGGAAATCCCCCGTTCATTTCGATCTGGCGAAATCATGTCCTTCTYCGGCCTCCCCCACGAGGACGTTTTCCTCTTCCTAACCCAGCTTCAGAACTCTTTTCASCTCCACCACATGCCCCTTGCCCACTGGCTCCYCATTGCCACCTCCCGCCTCCTCGGCAATGCAGCCAAATGGTGGATGGCTGAAGYTAGCAACCGYCGAGCCTCCGGAGGACCACGYCMCACCTTCCTCCAATGGGCCAMCCTCCTCACTGCCACCTTCCGCCCCTAGAAAACCATTGACGACTACCTTGAACAATTCTGCCACCTCCGCCAGACCGGTCCCACGGACCGCTTCGTCCAATACGTCCGCTCCCTCCGACACCACCTCCCCCACACCGTCATTCCCGACTGTGCGTTCATCTCCCGCATCAAACGAGTATGCCACAAAGACCTTGCAACCGCCCTCGCCCACGAACCCGACATGCCCCTTGCTGACCTCCTCTCTCGCATGCTTCACCACGATCAACGACTCCACCCCCACCACCAGCCCCCCCCCGGCACCTCCCGCACCCGCTTTTTCCACCACATCACCCCCGAAGACACCACCTCCATCACTTTCTCAGACGAGTTCACCACACCTGACCCCGACGCATCTTTCGATTCACTAGACTCTTCATCCCTCACTTCCGAGGAACTTGATGTCGTCCAATTCATAAGAATGGAGCGCAGCTCCCGACCACCCTCATCTACCCCACCCTCCCGCCTCAAGAAACTCACCCCCGAGGAGCGCACCTACCTCCAAGCAAAAGGGGGTTGCTTCCGTTGTCGCCAATTGGGGCACCAACAAACCAACTGCCCCAACGCCGCACGCCTCCACTTGACCCGCAACCTCAGCATCACCGCCCTCGGCAAGCGCGGGCCCCTCCTCATCATGAACACAGTCCCTAGGACACTGACCCGACATCGACATCGCGTGTGTCGGCCCACCCATCGGTGACGTCCTCCGTCCCATCGATGGCCATCCGGCATCGACAATTCGTTTGCCTCCCCCCTCTCCGGCGACGCCCCCTCCACCGGACGACTCCCAGGCGTCGCAAACGCCTCCCACTGCCTCATGCTCCTCTACCCTTCTTCCAAATCCATCCACTATCACCTTCTCCGATGTTGTTGAGGAACAAGCCCGACACGATCGGCTTGTCCGCTTAGGCAACGAACAGCGCCGCCTCAACACCATCATCTCCACCACCAGCTCATCTCGTTTCCACCTCAAATTAATCGCTGCCACCCTTGGTGCGTCTACAACTAAGTTCCGGGCCGTCCTCGACATTGGAGTCACCGGTAACTTCATCACTGACGCGTGTGTCAGCAAAGCCGATCTTACCTCTACCGGTTATGACTCCCCGATCACGATTCGCCTAGGGGACAAAGACACCGCCGTCGTGGTAGACCGCACGGTTCCCGAGACCATCATGACCGTTGGAACCCTCCGCAGTCAGGTCTCGTTTGATGTCATGCACTTGATGTGCGACATCGTCTTAGGAACCTCGTGGCTGGACCGCTACATGCCATACGCATTCCACCCCAACTTCCTTCGCCTCACCAACCCCCCCGACACAACCATCGACATCCCCTACCTCCCATATCCGACCTCCCAAGGCTCTGTCACCCCACACCAATTCCTCCACATGGCTCGCCTAAACCCCGACTCCGCCTACTACTGTCTTGTCCTCGATCGCGAAAGTCCCAAGGACTTACTCCCGACGGACAAACCCGATCAAGCCCCCCCCTCCAAGCCCGCCATCACTTCAATCCTCGACGAGTTCAGGGACGTCTTTCCCAAGTCCTTACCCGTCGGACTACCTTCGGATCGTGGCGTATCGCATACCATTGATTTGGAACCCGGACATTCTCCACCTTGCCGCCCTCCATACCAACTCTCTGTCCCCGAAGCCGAAGAAATGAAGCGGCAACTCGGTGAACTCCTAGAAAAAGGGTTCATTAAGCCAAGTTCATCCCCCTTCGGAACCAGCTGCCTTTTCGTTAAGAAAGGTGGAACTTCGGAACTCCGCATGTGCATAGACTGCCGTGCCTTGAGCCGGATCACGATCAAGGAGAAGTACCGCCTACCTCGAATTTCGCAGTGGCTTCCACCAGATCCGTATCCGCGAGGAGGACACCCACAAGACCGCCTTCCGCTCTCGGTTCGGGCACTACAAGTTTCTCGTGATGCCATTCGAACTCACCAATGCCCCCGCTACCTTCCAATCCACCATGAACCACATCTTCGGCAACCTCCTCGAAGTCAGTGTCGTCGTCTACCTTGACGACATCCTTGTCTTCAGCCCCATCTTCGAGTCCCACCTTCAGCACCTCCGCCAAGTTCTCTCGATCCTCTGCGAGCAAAAATTCTACGCCAAGCTCAGCAAATGTACGTTTGTCGCTTCGAGCGTCGAATACTTCGGTCATATTGTCTCCGCTGAAGGCATCCGTATGGACCCCTCGAAGATCACAACCCTCGTCAAGTACCCCCCACCCAAGACCCTCCTCCAACTCCGTTCCTTCCTTGGCCTTGCCAACTATTACCGCCCGTTCATTCGCAACTTTTCCGAGATCTCTTACCCTCTCCACGAACTCACCCGCAAGGACGAGCCTTTCCATTGGAACGATCGCAGCCAACACGCTTTCGACTTACTCAAGCAAACCATCACCACGGCCCCTGTCCTCAAGATCCTCGACCCCACTCGCCATTTCTATGTCACCACTGATGCCTCCGACTTCGCCATCGGAGCCGTACTGTCCCAACATTTCCCCCGCGACACCGTCGAGACCCCCTCCATCAAGGACTCGCCCACTCACCCCGAGGCTCCACCTGGCGAATACCCCATCGCCTTCGCAAGCAAGACGCTCCTTCCCGCGGAGATGAATTACCCCTCCAACGAGAAGGAACTCCTCGCCGTGATTCACGCCCTCACAGTCTGGCGCTCGTACCTCGACGGGCAATACTTCACCATCCGCACTGACAAAACCATCGTCTCCTCCATCCTCTCCAAGAAAGATATCACTCCACGCCAAGCCCGCTGGCTAGACTTCCTTGCCCAGTTCACATTCACCATTTGCCATACCCCCGGCAAAAGCAACCGCGTTGCGGATGCCCTCTCTCGACGACCAAACCACAAGCCCCCCGAGAAAGTCTACACCGCCATGACTCATATTCAACTCCTTCCATCACTTCATCATCGATACACCCAAGGCTATCTCTCCTGCTCAGACTTCGCCACCATTTACAACAAGCTCCGCGATCTTGACCCAGTTCCGGACTACTCCCTCCACAACAATCTCCTCTACATCGATACCAAAGGCACTCGCCGACTTTGCATCCCCGACGCACGAGGCCTCCGTACTCAGCTCTTGGCCGAGCAACACGACGCCAAGACCGCAGGACATCTCGATTTCCAGAAAACCTTCGACACCATCTCCCGCTACTTCTATTGGCCTTCCCTACTCGCCGACATTAAGGCATACATTCGCTCGTGCCCCACGTGTCAAGCTGTCAACCCCTCGAACCGGGCCAAACCCGACAAGCTCCAATCATTGCCCATCCCAACTCGCCGGTGGCAGTCCGTCTCCATGGACTTCGTGTGCGGCCTCCCCAAGACCGACCGCGGGCATGATTGCATCTACATCATTGTCTGCCGCTTGACCAAACGTGCCCACTTCGTCCCTTACACGACCTCACACAGTGCCAAAGACGTCGCCACACTCTTCTTCGACCATGTTGCTCGCCATCACTGCCTCCCGGAGAACATCATCAATGACCGTGATCCTCACTTCCTCTCACAATTCTGGAAACACTTCTTCACGGCCTACGGAACCACGCTCAAGTATAAGACTGCATTCCACCCACAGACCGATGGACAAACAGAGAAGATGAACGATACACTCCAAAGAATCCTGCAAAAGTATTGTCATCCACACCAACACGATCGGGATCAGTTGCTCACAACCGCCAAGAAACTTGTCCGCGCCGTGCTAATCCTACGTCCTAGATACCTATATCACGATGGCGAACCCCCGCTAAACCCTTGCAACCCTTCTTTACAGACACCCTTGAACCCAGTCCACCCTTCCCTTGATCCTCATTCCTGATATCTGATCTGCCCTTGCCCTCGCCTAGCCTTGTCCCATCTGTCCTCTCCACTACCTTGTCTCTCTTGTCCAATGCTTGTGAACTGACGCCGGCGATAAAGGATCTAATGGCAAGCGCACGAGGACGATGCCCTGCCGCCTCACTGTTCATGGAGATTATGCAGCTGGTTTGGCCACCATGCTGTTTCATTGGCCGGCATCCCGACTCGCGGACTTACTGGAGCAGCAACTTGTGACATGGATCTTTGCATCAGTCTACGACTTCCTTGTTTCCATATCAGACCTCATTGCAGTTCGTGTACCGGACGCACCCTAGCACTTGGACTTTGACACTTGAACAACTACTACGCTTCTTGGACTTCTACCTCTCACAGCTGCTGAAGACCGCTTCTACCACGTACTCCAAAGACCTGATGAAGACAACTGCAGACCCCCTTTCAAGACACTTGGACACTTTGTTCCTACATGAGATTCTGCTTCTGACTCCTTCGGACACACCAGCCTTTGCATCCTGAACAAACATTTTCATTTTTATTTTTCCTGACTTTGACAACTCTGTAGAACATCATTAGCAGATCCCTGTTTCCCTAACCATTGTTCCCCGTACCCACTAGAACATCAATAGACATCCCCTGTTCCCCTGACCATTGTTTCCCTTACCCACTAGAACATCAATAGACATCCCCTGTTCCCCTGACCATTGTTTCCCTTACCCACTACAACATCAATAGAAATACCCTGTTTTCCTGAACACCATTTCCCTTATCCAGTAAAACATCAATAGAAGTTCCCTGTTCCCTGAACTATGTTCCTCCTTAACCTATAGTGAACCATGCAGTCCCCTTAGTTCATCAGTAGGACCACCATGCTCCCTATCTTCTCTTTAGTTCATTTGTAGGACTACCCTGTTCCTTGCAACCCCCCCTAGTTCATCAGTAGGACAACTCTGTTCACCGGTACCAAACCCTATTCCCTCTTACTCCCGCAGCCCATGCCACCCACATTATACCCCTCTTCCCTTTCGACTTGTTAACCAGTAATCGGCCCCGTCCCGTCGTTCACAGATTTCAGCATTGCTTCATGATTTTTGGCAGCCGGGATTTTGCCTTCTAGAGGGAGGGGATAGTGTTACGGACTTCACCAGGACTCGATCCCTGGTCTATCTTTATGCTGTTTCGGCTGCATCCCGTTTTCGGCCTGGCACCCTTTTTCCAAACCCCTCCTTTGGTACCGTAGGATTTTGGACAACTGGCGCCATGCTGCAATTCGGGCGCCACTTTCAAATACTGCATTTTTCAGTTCTGNGCATTTTTCAGTTCTGCCCTCGGGGCCTTTGCAGAAATGCCCCTGGTACCGTACGTGTCACCGGTACTTATACCGGCTCCCCGTACAGTACGGGGACCAGTCTCGTACCAGTTTTCTGCTGCTGTACTCGTATTCAGTGTGACTTGCTGTTTCGGCATTCGGAATCCAAGACTTCGACTTTGTGCTTGCCACTGTGTCTGCGTCCGACCCTCAGTCCGAGTCCGTGGTGTCGAGTGAGTGAGTGTGTGTGTGTGCTCTCACTCTCTCCCTCTCTCTCTCCTCTCCCTCGGCTCACCCTCAGCCTCACGCCCGTCACAATGCTGGTGTACATCATCTTCTTCTTCTTTCTTCTTCTTCTTCTTCTAATCCTCTCTCTCCTCTCAAGTTCATTCATTTCTTTCTGCAATTGGATGGCATTGTACTATCTGATGGATGTGTATCTGGTCAGGATCATAACATATGATACCATCAGATATGGATGACAAATATTTAGATCGCATTGTCGCAGAAGACACGTACAGGACAGGGCGTAGAGGGAGACCCCAGCAACAGTACAAAGTCGCCTGAAGAAGATCGCTGGTTTACAAGAGACGAACTGATTGGGATTTCCCACCATATTGTATCCTTCTGTGATAGGGCAACAGAGGAATCAACATTATGGATCGGTAAAGTTTGCAACTTTCTCGAAGGACCTCGAAATTAGGCCGGCAGGAGTGAAAGGATTTCACGCTGCAGACACCCCGAGTCTCAGTTCCAGGGTCCCAAATTGTCCCAGTCCCACATGGTCCCGGTCCCACCTGTCCCGACAGGTGAATCCCAGGTAGGGTCTGTAGTGTCCTAGGGTCCGTAGGAAGGTCGAAGCATCGTAGGTCGTCTCGGGCCAGTACCCGACAAAGAAAGTCCAGTCCCAAAGTCCAAATTTGCTGCAGCGTCCCAAGAAAGTCCGGAAGGTACCGGACTTCAAAAATTCATGCAGCAGATAGGCCACGAGCAACCGGTACCGGTAGGAAGCAGACCAAGGCCAAGTCAAGCTACTATTAACAGGTAGTACAGTGCAGCTCACGATACACTGTTCATTTGTGAGATTGCGGAAGCATAGCTTGCTGATTGTGCGACATCGCGACTTGGGGGACACGCCAGGAAGGCCTGTTGGGCGGCGCTGTAAAGTTAGGGTTGACAACAAAGTGGCGGCCATAGTCGCAGTAACTGTAGTTGCAGTAGGAAGAAGGCGGATGTATCCAAGGTTAGGATCATGGTCGTAGCACACACACACAGAGAGAGAGAGAGAGAGAGAGAGAGAGAGAGAGAGAGAGAGAGAGAGAGAGAGAGAGAGAGAGAGAGAGAGAGAGAGAGAG